AAACAAAGCAAGACAAAACAAAACAAAACAAAACAGTCCTATAAACACATAAAACCAGAAAGACATATAAGGCCATTATACAAGGAGTTCTACCATAGTTCCTGTGTTGTCCCTTGTTACCTTTAATAGAATTGGCTATATCATCAGACATAGTATAATTGAATGTATCAGTACATACCAGTATCAATGAAAACAGAACTTCATATATAGTATAAAACTTCAAAAGCAGGCAGTTATTAAACCAGAATATGTATCGTAATGAGTCTTGTCATCTTTAGTGTAGTTGCCTATACTCTTCTGACTGGATACTATCAATCATATCAGTTTTGAGTAAAATCATCTTCATTCTGTTTTCTACTCCATTCATTGAGGCCTTTCTGCCACTGTTCCTGGAATCCTAGTACTTTTCTCTCTCTCTAGAATACCCTGCAGTATTCTCTATAGAGTTGGATTGGTGGTTGTGAATAGAACCCAAGTTCCTCTTTGTCTTGGAAGCATCTTGTGTCTCCATTAATTTCTAGAGACAGTTTAGCAGGGTATATCAATCTGGGATGGAGGTTATTTTCTTTCAGGGTTTGAAATATTTCACTCCAGGCTCTTGACTTGATGGTTTGTGTTGAGAAGTCTGCCATGATTCTGATGGGCCTTCCTTTATAGGTTATCTGTTTCTTGTCTCTAACAGCTTTTAACATTGTCTTCTTATATTGAATTTCTGGGATCTTGATTATTATATGCTCTGTATAGCATATATAGCTCTATTTTGGTTGTAAGTGGCTGGAGTCCTGTACGCCTCATACATCAGAATATCATTTCCTTTTCCTATGTTTGGGACGTTTTCCTTAATTATTTCTGTGAGTAGCCTTTGTAGTTCTTTTGTTTGTACCCCTGCTTCTTCATTCACATTTTTTATTCTCAAGTTATAGATCTTCTTGTCATCTTCTAGCCTTTGTATTGTTACTGCTTGTTTCCTTGTTATTTTTTAAAAGGTTTTCCCTTCATAATCACACATTGCAAAACTGTCCTCCAGTTTGAATAATCTATCCTTAGTTTCTTTCAAGCTGATTTGCCATCTTTCCATAGAGTTTTTAATTTTCTGGTGATCTCTTTGAATCTGCTTCATGTGTTCTATATTTTGTTTATATTTTTCATCAAATGGTTCTCTCTTTTGTTTGAGCTCCTCCATTCTCCGTCTGTGTCTGCTTGAGGGGTGCTTAGTATCTCTTTTATTAATCTTCTTATGTCTGGCTTTATTTGGCTAGATATTTCACTTTTGAACTCATCTATGAGTTCCCGAATATATCTCTTTATGTCCACTGGCGCCATGTCTGAGATTGCATGTTTGTTGTTCTCATTCTCCTTTGTATTTACCTGTCCTGGGTCAATGTTCTCAGAGTTGGCACCTGGGGACTTTTTGTTGTTGCTTCCTCTTCCCATCTTTTTTGTTTTTTTCAGGAGGCCCCAGTTTCTTCCTTTGTTGGTTACAATTTTTCTGAAGCAAGCTGGCTTGGTGACCCTTCCCACTGCAGTGTGCTAGTGAGTTGCCCACCGGGACAGTGTATCCTGGCCCCTCGCCTTTGGATCAGTCAAGCTGCTGAGGCCTGCACTGTATTAGTATGTGCCACCTCCCCTCCCGATCAGTCAAACCTCTGAGGCTTCACTACATTAGTGTGGTTAGTGTGTGCTGCCACTGAAGGGAATTGGTTTTGGATAACCTATTGGGTCTCAGCCAGGTCACATGTCCCAGGCCTAGCTCACTCCACCAATCTTGTTTGGGAAGGGAACAACTGACTGCAGTCACTGCTCTCCCTTGTACTTGCCAGTCCTGCCTGATCCCAGAATGTCATCCTTTCTGTGGAATGGCTCCACTCCCGTCACCACCGGTTGATGCAGGCTCCTGGCCAGGTCAGTTCTCCGTTCAGCTGGCCGACCCCCAACCTCTGTGTGAGTGCACTTCCAGTGAGTCGAAGCGGTGGGACCTCAGATGGCTTGGTATGTCACCCGCTGTGGTGGGAGCACTGAACCTGTAGCTGTTGCAATAATAGCACTGGGACTATCTATTTGTTTGGTTCTTCTCACCTTAGTTTCTTCTTGGGACGAGAGAATTCATCTTCCTCTGTTCGGGGCTCCCACGCTGTATTATGTTGAATTCTAAGTTGACTATTTCAGGGAGCCTCTGTAGCTAGCTGTTACCTATCCCTAGCATATTTCTATTGATGAATTATTATTCACTTAATTTTGAGTTTCTCACATTAAACTATGGGTACTTTAAAATAATTCTTGATGAATTTTATGAATTTAATACATTAAACAATGAATGCTTAACAAGAAAAATGTCACAAAAATACTGAGTTTTTAATACTTATTGAATGTTTATAAAACATGAAAAATTTCAAAATCATTTAGTTTTTAGTGTACAAAGTCTCAAAAAGAATTACAATTCTTGATTTGGCTGCATAAGTGCTAAAATATTCCTATATCAAATACAATGAAAATTTCAACAGCATTCTGCAAAAAAATAATCTTTAGTTATCACATGGAAGGCAGTTCTCACACATGACAACAGCATGTTCCATACACATGTTATTGCTCACACTGATAGCACATGTGTTTTGCTTTCCTTGGTACTTTGTAGGACATACTTGACATCTTGCTGGTCTTGCTGTTTTGTCTGGAGGCTATTATATTATGCAACGTGTAGTTTACAGGAACATCTTGTTTATGTATTATATGTTTAGAATAGACGTCAACATTTTCACATAAAGGTACAAAGGATTGAGACAAGCACCATGTGCTTTAGGGCTACAGGATAACTAGAATCCTTGGCAGAATTTGTAACTCTGCTAGCTGGCCAACCAACTGACACTAGGCAGCCCATATTTGATCAGAACAAGGAATTGAGAGGACAGTGAAGGAACCTGAACAGGATCTTGGGAGGGTTCAAGGGCAGATGGGTACAACAAGTCTGTTCACAACATCATTTAGTTTATAAGTATATAAAGAAGGACCTGATGGCTGAGTTCTAGGATAGATTTTTAAATTGAGAAGATAATAAGTCTTTACCTTCTTATGCCATATTTTGAACCATCTCTTTTCCATAAGTCTTTTGCATCCCTACAGTTACCATGAAAAATCTGTGCTAAGTGCAGCAGACCTATGAACGCATTCAGTTCAGCTAGTAACGTGTCATAATAAGTACATTTTTTACTATGGCTATTGGTATTTACAAAACATTTTACTTGTTTTTCAGCCTATATAGCGTCTTGTAGCATTTCATCTGTTACAATTTCCAATACTGAATGAGTGTGCTGGCATTCTGTCCCATACCTTTCATTCCTGCCAAGACCTTCACTATATTTTCAGTTCTACCATTGAACTTAGTTCTACCATTGGATCATTTCTTTTGGTTTTGTGGTCATTTTTACAACATTTCAACTAGTTTACTCACATTGCTATTTTCTTCATCATCTGAATCAAGGAGACCTGCATTGCCTGTGTATATATCAGTGGATTCTTACTCCATTTCGCTGTCATAGGAATATTGGCTCACATGGCCTACATCAAAATTGTCATCGTCATCATCATCATGCACCCATACAACTCTTCTATAATGGATCATTGTCATCATCCATGCATGAGTAATCTGATGATTCACTTTTGACCTCACCCAAAACTTGCAAATTTGTTTTTTTTGTATGCCATTGTACTGAATGAGGCTTTTTCTATCAGAAAAAATCAAAAGAAAACTTTTCTTGAAACAAATCTTAGAGTGGTGTGGTTGTATTGTAGTATTCTCTGTGATACCCAAGGAACCATACACCAAATTTGTTAAAGGGAACTTCATGTTGATGAAAATTTTGGTTAATACATTTCACATATACACACTTTGCCTTGCATCATACTGAGTAAACACAAAGTTTGCTTCCTGTTTTCCCCAGGCAAAGGTGCCAAGACACACAACTGGCCACTATTACACTAAAGCAAAAATTTACAATAGAAACGTAAGGGATGTGTTTGTGGAACCAGTGTTATGCTCTCCAGGTAATTAAGATATACATGTGAATATATCATCACTGCTCTGCATGATATTCCAAAGCAAGAATAATTATTTGTTCTTGTGACTTTTGCTCCTCATCCTGAGAATGAGTGGAATGTCTTGATTTTAATCCGCCTAGCTCTTCATCTTTTAATTCTCTTTTACTCTTTGTCAAAAGTGAAATAAGAAAAAAATTTTGGAGAATGTAAAGTTCAACCAATATATTTATGCTTGGTTTTCCTCTGGAAATGCCTGTCTTGCTTATAAGGATACTGTATTCTGAGGTTCAGTGGATAATTCCTTGCTTTTACATTAAGTAGATACTGACTAATCAGAAGAAACCAAAAGAATGTCCTGTGTGCTTGAACTGTCAGTGAGCCCTAAATTCCTTCCCAAGTAGGTCAAAATATCAGGGTCTTCATGGTGAGGGTAGAAGGCAAAAGGAGTATAGAGGAGCAATGCCTTTTTTTGCCCTGATCCTTCCTCAAGCTGATTTGACATGAACTGCTGTAAACCAGGTGAGTTTGGAGGGCCGAAATGAAAACAGCGAAGTCTCAAGGGTAAGACAGCAGTCCTCTCTGGTCTCTAGCATGACCTTCTGATTTTTTTCCCCCTATATGAAGTGTTCATGCCTAACTTTAGGTAGCATGTATAATGGAGGAAATAATGACCTTGTATAGTCACAAGTACTTACAATAAAGAATAGCTAGAAGCCAGTATACTCAAGTTGCTTTTTCACTAAATTAATTCCAAATAATAATAATTCTATTTAAACTGGTATAATTTTTTAAATGGAATAATGTTGTAACTTCATTTCCAAACTAACATTTTGTGAATGAGTAAATCGGTATGAACTATTTGATATGTGACTCGAATTGTCTGAGGAAGTTCAATTTATGTGATTATAAAATGCTTGTTGAAAGGGTATATTGCTACTGCTTTAATAAAACATATTCTTCTCTTCTAGGGTCTGAAGCTGAAAATTCTGAAGTTTTTCCAGACCTAGAAAAGGTTGGTGTATCTAATAGGTTAATTAGATTAGTTATCTGGATTTTGATTTTTAAAAAGCCATGCTGACTAAAGTATCAGCCTTACTTAGACCCTCTTCTGAGAAGAGATATGACTAATAATTTCAGTAGATAGAAATATGTTCTTTTTTATTACATTTCTGTAAAGCATAATAAATACATTTATCACAGAGAATTAGTACATACGCATATCACCTCTTGTTTCTTTTTATTTATTCCTGTCTTCTTCCACCTGTCTTCCCCTGCATTCCTAGATCACCTCCCATCTCCACAAAGACTGTGACTCTGTTCCTTATATTCTATTTTGCTCTTTAAATTTTTTATACTTTATGTTTTTCATATATGGGAAAACATGCAGTATTTAACCTTTTTTATGGGAGAGTAGTATTTTGTTCTCTGCACATTTTCTTTATCCATTCATTGATTTATAGGCTGCTTCCAAGGTTTATTATAAATTGTATTGCTATAAATATGGATATATATTTATAACTGTAATTAGGTTTCTTTACCTCTTTCAGGAAGATACCGAGAAGAAGTATAGCTGGGTCAAATGGAATTTTTAACTCTTAAGAAATATCCATGCTGATTTCATAGTGGTTGTACTAGTTTATGTTCCTACCAGTAATGTAGGAGAAAAGGTTCATTTTTCCCCATAACTATACCAGTATTCGTTGTTTTTTGAGGGGTTTTTTTGGTACCAGGGATTAAACTCACGATCTTGTACTTGCCAGGCAAGTGCTTGTACCACTGATGCAAATTCCTAGGCCTGTTTTTTGAGTTTTTGGTGGTAACCATTCTTTCTGAAGTAAGATGTAATCTCATTGTTTTATTGAATTTCTGTAATAGCCAAGTATATTGAACATTTTTTCATTTATTTATTGGACATTTGTATGTCTTCTGAGAAGTGTCTGTTCATTTCAGTTGCCAGTTTTTATTAGGTCTTTTATTTTGTGGAGTTCGCTATGTATTATAGACATTAACCCTGTGTCCATGGAGTAGTTGGAAAACATTTTTCCTGTTTTGTAAGTTGTTTCTTCCCTCTGTTATTTCGTTTGCTATGCAGGATTTTAGTTTTATATTATCCCATTTGTTAATTATTGGTGTAACTTCTTGTTCGATAGGGACTCTGTTCAGAATGTACTTGCCTATGCCCATGTCTTTAAGAATTTTGTCTATTTTATCTTCCAACAAATTGTTTCTGTTTTAGTACTTAGGACTTTGATTGATTTGCCTTGATTTTAATACAGAGTGAGAGACATGGGTCTAGATTCATTCTTCTGCATGTGGGTACCCAGTTTTCCCAGCACCTTTTGTTAATGACTGTGTTTTCTCCAGCATGTTTTTGGCCCCGTTATTGAAGACCAGATGGCTGAAAGTATCTCAGGTTGTTTCTGCATCCTCAGTCTAGTGCTGTTTATCAGCATGTTTGTTTTTGTGCTGTTACCATTCTGTTTTTATCACTGTTGCTCTGCAGTATAACTTAAAATCTAGAATTGCAATGCTTCATGCTTTGCTCTTGTTTCCCAGAAATGCTTTTGATATTATGGGTCTCTTCCATGTGAATTTTAGGATTTTTTTTAGTGAATAAAACTATTGGTATTTTGATTGGAATTACACTAAATCTGGGTATCAGTTTTTGTAATATATCTTTTGATGATATTGGTATTGCCTGTCCAGGAGCAGGGAATGGTTTTTCAAAAGATAGAAATATATTCTTGTCTAATACATCTTTGAGAATTTATTCTTTCTTTAATAAATAGTATTTTCTTGATACGTGTTTGATTCTGTCAGCTATACCTGTCAGCTATTTCCTGCTGTCAGGCTTTATTTTTTCCCTCTTGAGATCAGGAGTCAGAACGCAGGGGAAAGAGCATAAAATTTGGAACCATATCTAGGTTCTCAGGGTAACTCTATTGCTTGTATCTGTGAAATATTGACAGCGTTAACTGCTTCGCACAGTTATTATCCACACTGGGAGCAGCAATGTTTCATTGTGTCTGGCATCTAACATTACCAAATAAATATGTGCCCTTCCCTTCCTTCAGTTCTTTAAAAATCTTTAAATGTTTAGCGGAGGGCCATTATCCACTGTGGATTTGTTTCAGATGACTCTGGTAAGCTTGATAAAAGTAATTGTTTTTTTCCAGCATTCATTTTTCACTGATAGTGGTGCAGTATCTCCTAATCACTTGAACTCTCTGATATTAATAGCTCTTTTAAGGAAAAGCATTATTTAAATAAAAAAAAGTTCTGAGAGTTCTGTATCTTACAGGTCTCTCTCTTCTGTTAGGACAGATAATTTAAACAGTTGAACAGATTATTTGCCTTCTGTAAATATGTTGCAGCCAGTGTTATTCTTGGTTCTGTATTAATATTTAATCATATATTCAGCCACTAGGAATTTGGCATAGCAAAGTAGTAAGTAATATTCTTTAAGGGAGAAAGTTGATGAAAACTTTGAGGATAAGCTGCAATATACAAAAAAAGAATCCAACAAATTTTTCATTTTAAACATTTTCTTATTTATACTACAATGATGGAATTTCTATTTGGAAATACGCAGGAACTAAGTGAAGACAAAGACTCCCCTGAAATTAGCCTGCTCTCAAATTCTGCTACTATGGTATCTGGTATTGTTGCTGTAAAGGAGAAATTCTTAATAGAGCCAGAGAAGATCTTAGCAGCACCGAATACAGTTTATGACCCTGGAAAGGAAGTCACACTGACCATGTCTTCTAAAGAAACCAAGGACGAAGAAAGCTCACTTGAAACTTTTGTGTCTGCCTTAGAAAAGTTACTAACATCACCAGAAAGCACCCAAGAAAAAAGACTGTTTGAAACGGTGAATGATTTGGATCCTGGAGAACTGATGAACACACTGAGTAACTCATCGAGTTCTTTGTCAATATCTTTGAGTGCTTTGTCACCATATTGTAGAGATTTACTAGAAAATACAGAGGGTGATGCATTCCCACCTGAGTTGCTGGCAGCACTGAATGCATTGTCAGAAGACAAAACAGGGACCGTTTGTTGCAGAAAAGAAGGTGGCAGTCTCATTGGTAGAAATGAAGTTTTGGAAATGGAGCCTGATACGTTTCAGACAGATGAAGATTGTACACAAATAACAGAGGTGAATTTTGAGTGTTTTTGTTTTACTTCACTATTTTAAATACAATTCTAACTTAACTGAGCTGCAGAACAAAAGTGTTACCAGTGAGCCAAGTAAGTGCAAGTATGAGTCTGATTCTGCCACGTATAGTACCTTTTAATGTCTTCATTGTGTTAAATTTAAAACTTCTACCCAGTTGTCAACCTGAAGCATTCTGTGATCTTTTTAGGACTTATTAGGAAGAGGTTTTAAGGAGTTATAAAGTTAAAATAGATTATTCTCCAAAATCTGAGAAGTTTGCTTATATGTTAAAGAATTCTTTGCCATGATTTTCTGTGGTAGCTCAGAAAATCACCTTGTTTCTTTGGGTGCAGAATAGATATCTGAATTTATAGTTATACATTGAAAATGTGCAATTTGGGCTGCCAGGTGAGGGAAAAATGTATGCCTATCTTAAGCAGAACTTTATGTCTTTGGCTGAGAATACCACCAGATATAACTCTTGGCTTTAGAAATACGTTTCCCCAGTATGCCTGGAGGACCTGCCATGGCTTACAGTGTGCCAAGTTCTTTTTTCATATTTGTCATTTGCATTTTCACTATAAAAATTCAAACGTTATAGAATTATGTAATAAGCAACAAATAACTTTAAGTAATAAGTAACAGAAGGTTCCCCTCATTTCCACTCAAAATAACTGACACATTTATCTCTAGTTATTTATTATATCCTGTGTAAGTTTATTTTATGTAGTAGCATTAGGTTATACAAGATACTGTGCAACTTACATTTTTTAAATTTAATAATGTATGTTGGTTATCTAAATACCAGGAAATACAGCACTACTTAAATATTTTTAACTTACCGAATTATGGTATTATAATACATGAATATACCATAATTTAACCAACTCACTAATGATAGTCATTTGTATTCTTTTCTTTTCTCCTCTCACCCCTCTTTAGTCCACTCCCTGCAGGTTCCTTTTCTTCCTTTCCTTTTCCTTTCTGTTCCCTTTGCCTCTTGTTTTTTCTCCCCTACTCTCCTCTCTTACTAAGTGTTCCTTTGACCATACCCAAGAAGTGTGAAATAGTGTAATGCTGAGCTCGTGTTTTAATATACATATATGGAATAATAATTGCATGCCCTTCTGGTTAAAAAATCTCAAAACATGTAACAGGACTAAAAAAATTATAGGAAAAAGGCAATAATCATGAGTATAAGCATGAAGATTAAATATTCTAATGTTTAAATTTGGAAAGAAGGATTATGGATAAACCATAGGAAATTATAATTGGTATTAATAAAGTAAATACAAATTTAGCAAGCCTTCAAGTAAAAGAAACCCTTTAAAAGTAAAAAGATTTACTTAGGACAAATAAAGTTACTCTTTTACTCATCTGTAATAAAATATGGAAACATCTTCTGAACCTTTGCAAAATGGATATATAAATAAGAAAGTTTAGATAATAAGTCAAAATATAAATATCTTCACAAATTAAATTTTGATTATAAAGGGTAAGTAAAAGCAATTCATGATATTGCTAATCTTTTAAATCAACATAAAGGAGGTTATGATCTTGTCACTCAAAATACCACTATTGCTGCTGTCAAGTAATAAAATAGTAGGCTGAATAGAATAACTAACCTTCTATGATCTTTCTAGTATTTTTATGGGTTTTATTATTTGCATTACCTATTTCTTGCAAATTAAAGCAGTAATGACCTTAGGTCTTCCCTTGAATTTTAAGGATGGAATTATTTTTACTCGTGATCTTATGCTTTTAAATATGCATTTTCTTTTATTACAATAATTATTATAGATTTTTTCATCATAGTGACATTTTTAAATTCAATTACTTTCATCTTAGAGGCATTTTTAGTACCATACAAGAAGAGATAAAATTTAATTTCTTCTAGTTTTAATTTTTCATTGTTATAATATATTGTGAATGTATTTATATTTTACAGACTATAGAAAACTCAACTTCATTTGGATCCCAAAGTTGGGCTCATCAAAATGTCACCATTTGTGAGCCAATAAATAATAAAAATCCAAATCCCATGGATAATACTTCTCACCAGGAAACTCCATATGTTTTACGGAGATCATCTAGATTAGAAAAACTGAAAGCAAACCGAGATGCAAAGTGTACAGATGAGATGTATAAGATGCCAGAAAAGGTTGTATCAAATATATATACCTGTGAGGATCAAATAAATAAGTCAGCTGAAAATTCGGGGTATGTTATTAATTATAGATGTCTCTAGGCATTCTGTATACCTAATAAATATATGGTGGGAATGCGAGGGTCATTTAAAGTTATCCCTAAATACCTTTTTTTATGTTGGTATTTTTTTTTATTCTGCAGTTGTTGATTAGTGTCATGCCATATGGTAAATCTTTTACTATCCCAAAAAACTCCATTTTTCCCTTCGTAGGTGAGTAGATTATATAGGAGCATGCCATGTTGGGGAATGAGGAGCAGGAGTTGCAGAATCCTCATAGTTACAAGTAACTACTCCTAAGTTAGAAGTACAAAGAGAGAGCTGCAAGCCAACAAGACTGGGCTTGTTAGGCACAGAATTATTTTCAGCTTACTCATATTTAAAACTATGTTGCCTCTTCAGAATAATTCAGTATAATACCTTTGAATTTTTAAAATTTAGTCAAAATTTGGTAGGGCTTTCCATGAATGCTTATAAAAAATTACATAATTTAAAAGTATGTTTGATTTTTAAGAACTCAAGATCCTGTTTTAATGATTGAAGATAAAAAGAAGAATATGAATTCTTCCAGATTCAAGGGTGAACAGATCAGGAAAAATGAACGACTTATATTAAAAAAAGGTGAGGCATATTTTAAATATTTCTCCATTTTTAAAGTTACTTATAGAAATAGAACTTCGGTAGAGAACATTCAAAGATGATCTGTCTCAAAGTTCTGTTTTATTGATGAGGAAACTGAACTTCAGAGATAATAAGGCTTTTCAGAGCATCACATAGCTTATTAGTAGCATAACTAGGATTCGATCCTGAATTTCTGTCTCATAGGCTGATATTTTTTCCATCATCTTATTTTGGAGACAGCTGTAATATTCTTTTTAAATTTAGGCATGTTAACAACTTAATGAAAGGTTGTAAGAAAGCATAAAGAGGACCAGAGAAGAAGACAAGTCCAGATTCTTATTTTTAGGTTGTATTTCTGTTCCTGTAGAACTTGAAATATTGAACTGAAAACTCTCAGTTATAATAAGAAACTCTAGAAACACTGGCTAAAAAGTAATTGTGGAAAAGTGGCCAAAATTGAAATTTGGACTATAGATTATATTGTTCAATTCTGAGTTTGATAACTGGTTATATAATAATATTCTTTAAAAATACACACTTAAGTATTAGTGGTAAAAGGGGATGGTATATATAGTCACTAATTTTTTAATTTTATGTGCTCTATCTGTATATGCACATATAAAGAGCGATGTGGAATGACAAAGTTGTGACAAAAATGTCAACATTGGATGAATCCTTTATTTCTTAACTTTCTGTAGTGGAAATCAAACCCAGGGCCTAGCTCTGCCCACTTTGTTCTATTCTTACAACTTTTCTGTAAGTCTGAATTTATTATACCGTAAAATTTATAAAAATTCTATAAATCCAAAGTTTTAAAATTAATACATTTAATATATAAATATAAACTAAACAGAATGAGATATCATTTGTAATTGTTACAATGGACAGAAAATATCTATTTTTATAACTAATAAGAACTATGCCACTCCTATAAAATGAAAGTTTAAAAATTCTACTGAAGAAAAGTCAGACAGCACCTCCTGAGAATCAGCCATGCTGGGACTGGAAGGAGCTGACCAACAAGCAAACTAACCAGCCTTTCTGGTAATCCATACAGACTAGGTGGGAACCAGGAAGAGAAAAGTCAGATAGCATCTCCAGGGAGCTTATGGGTTCATGGGCTGAGAATCACACTCTGCGACCCTGACCACCATCATCCCCCATGCCAATTCCCCCATAAGCAGCTGGCTGGTTCGGAGGACAGACTGAGTTGATAGCAACTGAGGTACAAAAAGCAACTGAATGTTTATATTGTTTGTTTGACTGTGCAGTCCTGGGGCTGGCAGTGTATTTATAGGGAAGATAACTATGCAATACGGCAATTTATGGGGGATTTCTTCTGTTTTGTTTTTGAAATCCAGTATTGTTCTCACTATTTCATTTTGTTCTGAATAATTGTTTGACTTTATTCAGTGTTCAGTTTTGATTGGTTTTATTCTGTTTTGTTTTGGTTTGATTTTGTTGTATCTGATGGAATGGACAACTATTGGTAAGATAATAAGATATACTATGGTAACCATTGTTGTATTCCTATTATCCTACTTTGAAGTTCTGTACCAACTTCATGGCTTTGTTTGGATTTGATTCATTGTTTTGTTTTGGGTTTTTTTGGGTTTTATTGTTTTTAAAATAAAAGTAATTCTTCTGAAGGACTTAAAAAAAGAACAAATGAACAACTAAATAGAAGAAACTTGTTCAGCATTGTAAGCAGTTACTTCTCTATGTCAATAAAAAGATATATATAGCTAGAGGGGATAGTTATGAAAATGTTATGTGGACTCTGGTACTCTCAGCTACTCAGGAGTTTAAGGCAGAGGAGTACAAGTTCATTGCTACCCTAGGCAATTTAGTGACACCCTAAAATGAAAAATAAAAAGAAATGAGGATGTAGTTCAGTGCAGTGCCCTGAGTTCAATCTGTAGTACTGCCAAGCAAAGCAAAATTAAAAAAAAAAGATTTTAAAAATGGTGATTTTAGAGGGCTGGGGATGTAGCTCTGTAACAGAACACTTGCTATGCATGCATGAAGTTCCAGGTTCAATCTCTAGTACCACAAACAAACAAGCAAACAAACAAAAAATGGCAACTTTTAGTTTACTGATATTTAAAAACTAATTACACATCTCTTTCTCCTTTTTGTGTGTAAATATAACTGATTAATACATAAAATACTCTTTCGTAATGTAATACAGTATTCTTTACTTCCAGAGTATTGACTGGATTTATCCAATTACTTCTCTTTACCCTAATTTTCAAATAAATATTGTTTACTTTTCTTTATTCTCTCATTTCAGAAAAACTGAAGATTAATAAAATGCCTCTCTCTAGCATAAACCGCCGAAATGTTTTTGGAGAGAACTTACTATATCAGGCTGTCCTATATGATGATGCTGATCTTGTTCATTGTTGTATAAAAAAAGGTGCAAATGTTAATCAGCCAAGTTATGCTGGTAAGTTAGAGTTATCAACCATTGTTGTACTGAGAATGTGGTTAATTGAGTCACCTTCATGAAAGTACAGCAAAATGGGCCTAAATTTAGTTCCAAACAGAGTTTCCAGATAATTCCTTGTTTAAGAAGCTCTTCAAAATTACTTTTATCTATTTCTCAGGGAAGAGATAGAGGTGGTGGGCATCAGGAGAAAAATATATTTGTCCTTCAGAGATAATGCCAAGAGGGGCCATGAATAATGACATTGTGCAGGAGGGAACATAGTTCCTGAGGCTAGCATTGTATGGTCATTATCTGTGAAGCTCAACTTTAAATGGAGGAAGAAACATTGTGCACAAGGGAAAATTTATGATACAGTAGGAGAATTTAACTCTGGGGTTATACTGTACAAGCAAAAATAATGGCCAGGGAAGTGGAGAGAATATAGAGTATGAAATAGAATTGGTGGGATAGGGAACTCCAAAATAGAGCTTTAAGGGTGCATCTCTGGTATAGTCTGCCTTGAGGGAAGACCCTGACATGTTCTGGAGAGAAGTAGTGATTCTTTAAAGAAACTAAAGTACTTTAATGCATTGTGTTTCACTGGACCAGCCTAGCAAGTTCTTTTGGGTGTCTGTAGTTTTTCTTTTAGATTTTATCACTTTGTAAAACAACGCAAAAAGTCTTTAGTGCACACAGTTGATATACCACAGCCCCCGAACAAGCAAGTGATTATGGGTGGTGTTCTAGGACCGTGTTAGCAAGGATGTGGTTTACACTATGTTTTATTAAATATGCACTGATGTAACCACTATGGTGTTATAACACATACTTTGAATACCTATTTTTATCTAGGCCATGTGCTCCCTTGATTTTTAGAGCTTTGTATTTCTTTATTTAGTACTCTTTGTCTCGTCATTGAATCCAGGAATTGTTCTATGTGCAATCAACTACAGTTTCTCAGTCATCCCAACATCCTTTTTTTTGGCATTAGCCTCTATTTTTATGTCCTCTGTAGCCATTCTTTACTTGTCTTTAGCCAAGTTCCTCAGAGTTTCAGGCACTTCTGTGACCTTCATGCATTTTGTATACTTAATTTTCAAGTCTTTTTCTTGTCTTTTTGAGACAGGGTTTTGTTTCACAGTTTAGGCTGGCCTTGAATTAACTTTGTAATGCATGCTCACAGTGATCTTCCTGCCTCAGCCTCTCAAGTGCTGGGATTGTCAGTGTGCACCACCATGCCTGGCCTTTTCCAGGATTTTTGAATTCTCTTAGTCTGTACTTTTTGTTTTTTACTTTCCATCTTACCTGTTTTTTCTTATTTCTAGCTACTTCCTCCTTCATAATTACAGAGGGTAGTATTCCATAGGGTCATTTTTATCAGAATTGCCCACAGGGTTTATTTAAAATGGAGTCATTGCTGTCATGAACCAAGAAGAAGCCAGCTCCTTCCTGTGAGCCAGCTGGTGTTCTGGCTTGGAGACAAGAAGTGCTGAGCTGCCCCCACCCCTGCCATAAGCAACTGGCTGATTCGGAGGAACATAGGGTGAGATGATAGCCACTGAAGTACAAAAGCAACTTCATACCTGTATTGTTTGATTTATTTTTTAAAAGAGATTAAGACAAAAGACGACAGAACAAAGCAGATCAGAACAATGTAAGCAACATAGTACTTAACCACAAGACAACCCAATATTAACAGTAGCTACTGTAATGTCTCTTTCTTTGAAATAGTTGAGCATACCTTCACATACGATAGTATCAAACATAACAAAATAGTATAAAACCATTCAAGAGAATGAAAGTATACTCCTCCCTGGTAAGAGGCAGTAGTGTGGCCCACTGCAGCCCTTCCAGGGGGAGAACTAGCAGTGTCTCCTGAGATCCACGCCATGTTGGAACTTAGGACTCTGGGAAGCCAAGCCAGCACCTCCCCTCCCTGGTAAGTGGAGGCAGGGTGGCAGACTGCAACCCTTCCAGGGGGAGAACTAGCAGTGTCTCCTGAGATCCATGCCATGTTGGAACTTAGGACTCTAGGAAGCCAAGCCAACACCTCCCCTCCCTGGTAAGCGGCGGTAGTGTGGCCCACTGCAGCCCTTCCAGGGGGAGAACTAGCAGTGTCTCCTGAGATCCATGCCATGTTGGAACTTAGGACTCTAGGAAGCCAAGCCAGCACCTCCCCTCCCTGGTAAGTGGTGGTAGTGTGGCCCACTGTAGCCCTTCCAGTGGGAGAACTAGCAGTGTCTCCTGAGATCCACGCCATGTTGGAACTTAGGACTCTGGGAAGCCAAGCCAGCACCTCCCCTCCCTGTTAAGCGGAGGCAGGGTGGCAGACTGCAGCCCTTCCAGGGGGAGAACTAGCAGTGTCTCCTGAAATCCAAGCCATGTTGGAACTGAGGATGCTGTGAAAACAAATGACCATTCTGCCTTCCTGCTTAGCAATAGTGAACCTACTGCTACATGGCCTAGAGTCAAATATCCCACTTCCCCTATCCTCCTTTTCCTCCTCCTTCCATCCATTAGCAAGTGGGAACCAGAAATCTGAGCATCTCCTGGGAGGTTGACCATAGCAAATAAGGGGGACTTCCTTCTACCCTTTCTTTGAAGGCAAATATTTTTATTACTTTTATGCTGTTTTCTGATTAGTGGTACTGCTCTATTCAATATTCTGTTTTGATAAGTTCTATAGTGTTCTATATTTCATCTCATTTTGATATATGGGATTCAAAGAACAACTATTATAAAGATAACAAAATATACTGTGATACCTATTACTGTTATCCCGGTAACTTGCTGTGAAGTTCTGTACCAGTTTCACTGTACGATCTTAGTTGGCTTTATTCTGACTTAATCTATTGTATACTTTCAAAATAAAAATTAAAAAAAAAAGAATGAAAGTATTACAGGGCATTCAGAACCAAATAAAAAACTAACAATGGCTACTGTATTAGCTCCTTTTCCATAAAAAATTTATTTATACTGTCACACATATTAAAATCCAATAAGATACAACATGATAGAACCAATGGAAACAGAAGAACAAAAGCATAGCAAGCCTTCAAAGCAAGATGATATTAAATCAGCAATGGCTGCCATAATGTTTGTTTTCTTCAAAATAGCTGTTTATGCCATCACACATAATAAAGTCAAACAAAACAGAATAAAACCATTCCAACTAATGAATGAAAACATAAGGCTTCAAACCAATGTAATGGGGAATCATGATTACCATAAAATCTTATGTGCACTTACCATTTCTTACACTAGGGAGACTATACAGTATTTATACATGTGAGTTTGATTTATTTTGCTCATGAGTATGATCTCAAGTTGCGTCCATGTATTTATGAACATCTCAATGTGATCATTATTATAGCTGAATAGTACTCCACTGTATAAAAATACCACAACTTTTTTACCCATTCCTCAGTTGATGGACACTTAGGTTGTTTCCAAGATCTGGCTATTATAAATTGTGCTGCTATAAACATGGGTGCACATATATCACTGTGGTATGATGTTTGATTGATTTTGCAGGCCTAAAGTCAGTAATCTGAGCATCTAGAGGATAACAGTATTGCAATATAGCAACTATGGGGATTTCCTTCTGAAGGTGATATCCACTGTTAATTCCCTATTTTCGTGTTTTAAAGACCTGTATCATTTTCATTGTTTGTTTTGTTTGATTTTATTATATCTGATGGCATGATCAGTTATTTTGAACATAACAAGATATATAACGATAGACATTATTGACTTCCTATTATCTTGTTTTGAAGTCCTGTATCACTTTCATTGTTTTGATTGATTTTATTGTGTTCTATTTTGTTTGACTTTATTATATCTGATGGTATGGACAGCTATTTTGAACGTAACAACAAGGCATTATGGTAGCCATTTGATTTTTTGTTAACCTTGTTTTGAAGTGCTGTATCACTTTCATTGTTCTGTTTTGATTAGATTTATTCTGTTTTATTTTGTTGAGTTTTATTGTCTTTAAAATAAAAAAGTCAGCTGTTGTTTCACTTCCAGATATACATGGGCACATACATAAACATACACAGTGAAAATCTGTAGGTTAAAACCTATAAATCTGTAGTTTAACAAGTTTACCCAATTGATTTTTATGCTTTTGAAGTAAACCTGCTGATAAGAGGTGTAAAACTTTCATGAAATGTATCAGTTCAACTTGGTGAGTTTTTGTATTGTTTCCTATGTCTCAGATGTTTGGTCAACAAAAAAGATTAATAATTTCACAAGGCTTAAATGTATTTTATACATCTTTCTTCTAAAAAGCTATATCCCTGTAAGAAATGGACAAAATATAGTAATAGCAAACTCAATATTTTTTCATAGTGTTACAGTTTGTGTCTGAGTATCCCTCACAATGATTCATGTAGTCATGGAGGTGGTTGAGTCTAGTGTTTGTGATTGGTTTGTTGTTAGCATTAGGATTGGTGGTTTGAGTGCTTCACTTGTCCAGGGGTGGGTAGCTGGCATAAAATATGAGGGAGGGAAGGAAGCATGCTTTTCCCTATTGTGCTTTTGCTCTTGTTGCTTGTGGCCACCATGAATGGTTGACCCTTAGCCAGTCCATCTCGCCTTCGAACCAGCTGATTATGGACTGGAACCTCCAGATTATTTCATTTTACGAGTCAGGTATTTTATCTCATCAACGAGAGAAAAGTAAGATAGAATTTGGTACTGAAACTGGTGCTGTTACTGTGACTATACCTGACCATGTGGTTCAAGAACATTTGGGAACGGCTTGTGGGAAGAGTTTGGAAAGGTTTGGAGATGTTACCTGAAAGAGTAGCCCTGGAATGGCTTAGTCTGTTCTCTATTGGAGATTCTGGTCAGTGCTCAGAACACCAGAAGGCTGATAGAAAGCCTGCTGGTAAACACCAGGCTCGGGAGGTTTCTGCTTGGAAGCGGGACTGTACTAGGTGCTGGACTCCAGATGATGTGTGTTATGGCTTGGCAGAAAGTTTGTTTGCACTTTTCTTTTATCTTTAGACTTT